CCTCCTTCCAGGCCTTATTTATACATGGTTTTTCCCTTACTTTGCTTGATATTCTTTGTTTCCCCAATACCTGGTTCATAGCGAGCACTTAAGAAGTGATATATCTGCATACCTTCACATCTCTCTAATTTGTCATTCCACAAGTATTTGCGTACTATACACCAGGTACACACTGTGTAAGGTGTTGCATATGAAAAAAAGAAAGTGAATCAATTCTTCTTCTTGTGGATCTTACATTCTGTTGGAGAAAACAAGAATATATGTAAAAAGTAGCTTCAAAATATTTGCAAAGTAAAAATAATGTGTATACTGACACAAGCTTACTACTAAAGTTTCTTGAGGGCAGAACTTGTTTTCAGTCGGAGTCCTAGGTGTACCTGGGAAGGGATGTATGTGTCTTTTTAATGTTATCAGCATGAACCATTATTCCATGGTGCTCCCTTCATTATTTATAGTTGATACAAATTAATCAGCCATTCTTAATTAGACTTTAGGAAGAGGTATTTAATAACGTAGTACAGTAAGAAGAGTCGTTCCATCACATTTCCTCCAAAGTCTAGAACACACCTTCCCACCAGTACATACAGAGCTCAGAGAAATCTTGGCTCCAGCTTAGAAAGAATACGTGGCAAAAACTTCTGGTTGTTGGAAGTTCTTCCCCTTAATGAGATTCTCAAGGAGTTCCCTTAGTTGTGATGTAGGTTCTTTGTGAGATGCCTTGTCCAGACAGGAATCCGTCTTCTCAAATTTCCTAATGCAGGGTCTGATGCCAACTGCTGGGTGATGGTGCCAGGATGCCAGATGAGAAGCCCAGAATCCTCTTGACCCTTTGAAGTTCTCAAGGTCTCTTTTTTGCTATTATTCTGAAGTAGTTAGGTGGCATACTGAATAAATCACTAAGCCTAGAATCAGGAAGACGGGTTCAAATCCAGTTCCAGACATTAGCTCTATGACCCTGGACAGGTCACTTAACCTCTTCCTGCCTCTGTTTCCTCAACTACAAAGTGGAGATAATAATTGTACCTACCAGCCAGGGTGTTATAAGATTCAACTGAGATATTTGCAAAGCAGTTAGCATGGTCCCTACCACATAGCAGACACTTAAATGCTTATTCCATTTTGTTATTTGCTCCTGAATTTTGTTTTTACTATACAGAAATACTGTTGACTTGTGATTGTATTTTCTATCCTGGAATTCTATTGAAGCTATTGTTTCAATTGGTTTCTGTGCCAATCATGTAGGATTTTTTAAAAGTAAAACATAATGTTTTCAGCAGAAATGTAGTTTTATTTCTATTTCTACGGTGAATCTTGTCTGGGCCACAAGTCGCATTACTATGCAGCTCCCTGGTTGAATACTCTTAATGTTGGGGTAGATGAGTGTGACTTGACAGAGTGAGAACAAGATGGAGGCACAATTATCTAAGGTCACCATCAAGAATAGCCATGAAGGAAGAGGACATTACATTAATGTCTGAATTGCCTTGCAAAAGACATTTAGCCACTCTCAGGCCTTGGTCTAGATAAAAAAACAATGAGCTATGTAGGAATGCCCAAAATTATTCTAGCTCAGGTATAGTTCTTACAGTCATTCTCAGCATAGGCTCCTAGTATGAGGGAAAATCTCAGCCTAATAGTAGGTACCGCAGAAATCTGACCAAGGCAGACTGCCATTTTCAAGGTATAGAGGAACGAAAAAAATAAAAGGATGAATGGGACAAGTGATCTAACTAGCTGATGAGAGAGAACCTGGTCATGATGTTTCAGAGTTCTAGAGACCATTCTATCTTTCCTTTATGCCTCTAGCTTGAGGGTGATAGGGAGTATAAGAAGTCTAGTGGATAGATCGCTCCTGTGCCCTTTTTTGGCTGACTATTGAAGTGAACAAAGTATCATTGTCATTAGAAATGTGGTTAGGGTAGCTGATTTAGAGGCAAATGCTAGAGTCAAGGGTTTTTATCATTAATTTGGATTCAAGATAAGCCACAAGGTAGTGACTTCATAGCCAGTGTATGGGGCCATAGCATTCAGGATGAATTTTAAGCCTCGCTGGAGAGGTAAAAGGTTAAAATGATTCATCTTCCAAAAGCACAAATGACCTATTCCTTAACATGGGCCACATTTACCTAGCCATTAGATGTATGCATGTTTGGGGAGCTCCATTGGAGGGTGATATTTTTTATTCAAAATGTATAATAGATGAATTATATCTCTGCTCCCTCAGAGATATCTGTGAGATAAAGTCCCCCCCCCCACCCCTGCACAAGGGATTTTGAAAATGGGTCCTTGGGAGCAATGGAGGACTTGGAGGTGGGTCAATTAGCAACAGGTTCATGTAGCTAACTGATCCCTCTCATGCCAGGCTTGGCATGGGATTGGATATACCATTTCTATTTGATTATGGAGGTTTCCCAAGTGTGGCTGGCCTTGTGGGACTTTTTGAACAACACTATAAGATGAGAATCTCCAGATGGAGAATGACTGGAATGCTGCTGGCCAGGTCCTCTACCTCTATCAGGGCCAGGTAAAAAGCTTGGAGCTACTTCTTAAAAGGAATGTAATTGGTCATGACTCTACCAAAGTGCATGTGGAAAATATCATTTGCCTATAGTGGCCAGCTTGGTCTTTCTGTGAAAGGCTCCAGGTGGCATCATTAGTGGTGGCAATCATTTGTAATCCTGGAGTATCTAGAGCAGAGATTCCAGGGACAGGGCATCCCAATAGTACTTTGAGAGGCTTCCAAGTCATCTTGTTGTTTGGGGTTCCACTGAAAACGCATACCTTGCCATCAGCTCCCGTATGGAAAGACTGCAGGATGATGCCTGGGGTTCAGTACAGTGGGAGGGAGCGGAAAGATGGCACTGTCACTAGAAGCCAAAAAAAGGTTGGTGACCTGCTTCTTAGTAGTGGGAAGTTTATTGTAAGTAACTTTTCTCTCACCTTGGTGGGGATTCCTACTGCTCCCCCTCTTTAAGTTTTTGACCTGTTGAGCACGCCCCTGAATCTTATCAGGTTTAATGACCCAGCCATCATCAATGAGAACAGTTAGCAAGTCCTCCAAAGATTCAGAAGGAGTTTCCTCAGTCAGCCCACAGAAGATGATGTCATCAATGCAATAGTGGACTGTCATTACTTGGATCACAATGAGGTCAACACCCACTCCACCTGTTCATGGCAGATTACAGCCAAACATGCATTTTTCTCTTGGCTAGAGAGGGATATGCCTGGGCCAACCCCTGACCTATGACTATTCACATAAGTGCCTGGCACACAGGAGATATGTAATGCTTTTTAATCACTTGATTAATTGATTAAATTGATACAAAGTCATTTCTTGGGAGGAGGACACTAGTAACTGTGGTATCAGTATAGGTGTTATGCAGGAGGTAGCTCCTGAGTTGAGCATAGAGGGAAGCTAGTGATCTATGAGATGAACTTCAGCAAGGAGTCAATACAGTGAGATGGAAGATAGAATGTCAAACATGGGGAACAACAAGTAGGTCAATTTGCTTGCTATGTAGGGTAGATGAAGACAAATACTGTTTAATATAACTGTAAATATAAGCTGGAACCAGATTGTGAAGGGTTTAAAAAGAAAGAAAAATGTTTATTTTATATTGGAGGTAAGGAGGAACTTAGCTTCTTCTTGGGCAGGAGAATGATGTGGTCAGACCTGTGCTTTAGGAATATCATTTTGGGAGTTAAATGGAGAAGAGATTGATGAGGACAGAAACTGAAAGTAAGCAAATCAATTGAGAGATTGTTAAAGTAATCTAGCTGAAAGGTGACAAGAGCATGACCTTGGTGGTGGTTCTGTGAGGAGATAGAAAGGAACAAATGTGAGATACAGTGGGGATGTAGAATTGAGAAGGTCTGGTAACTGATGGGAAATGAAGTTTGAGAAAGATTGACTCATTGATGTTGAAAATTTTATTGAGTGAAAGAAAGTGGCACCATCCACAGAAATTGGGAAATTAGGGAGAGGGGTGGGCTTAGAGAAAAAGATAAGGAATTCTGTTTTGAATATGTTGAATTTGAGATGCCTTTGAGTATTCCACTTTGAAATGCACAGTAAATAGTTGGTAATGTGGGACTGACATTCAGAAATGGGATCATGACTGGATGTGTAAATCTGAGAGTCATCTGAGTAAAAGTCATAGCTAAACCCAAGGGGATTGAGTATAGAGAAAGTAAAAAAGAGGACTCAGGAACAAACCCTGAGGAATACCCCTACAAAGTGAATCCCTTTCAGATCTAGCAGTATATGGAAATTATATTTTTTTCTTTGAAATAGCAGCATGATTTAGAGAAAAAAAGTATTGGATTTGGAGTCCTAGGACTTGAGTTTGAAGTCTACATGTGCTACTTATATAGCTGCAAGTAAATCACATTTGCAAGACTCAATTTTGTGAGACAGTTATCCTTAGAAAGAGAGATCTCTGAGATCCTGAATTCAATTTAACAAGTAATGTATTTATTAAGTTCCTACTATGAGCTAGGCACAGTGCCCTGGAGGTAGAAAGATATAATAAAATAGTCTTTTCTCTCAAAGAGCTTACATTCTATTGAAGGCAAACATATAGACACATCAATAATTACCAAATACATGTAACTCATTTCTGGAGGGAGGATACAAACTCTAATATAAAGGGGAGTTCATAAAATAGCACAGGGATTCAGGGGGAACAATGGAAGGCTACGGAAGAATGGAATGGGGAAACCAAAATGATGAGATTGATCCAGATGAGTGTGAGGAAGTTGGGAATGGTGAACATGGAAGAGCATCTCAATATATATACAATGTAAGTCAAAATCACAGATATTTTGAGTAAAGCCATGGGGCAGCATATTGGCACATCCTTCATAAGCAATAAAAATGATGTTGACTTGGTCTTCAGTTCCTGAGAAAGAGGCACAAAGTAGAGATGGGAGGCTTGGGTGGCGTTATACACATGGCAGTACCTTTTTCTGCCAAATGGTCTAGGATGTAGGACATGTTTTTACGTGTCTCTAGGTTTCCCTGCCAGTTTCCATAGTGCTATTTTCACTTCCTTATTCCTCAGGCTATAGATGAGGGGATTCAAAGTAGGTGTGAAGGCAACGTAAAACACTGTGATAATTTTGTCCTTCTCTGGGGAGTACAGGGACTTGGGCCTCATGTAAAGAGACATTACAGTCACAAAGAACAGGATGACAACCAGAAGGTGAGAACAAGTGGAGAAGGCTTTTCTGCTCCCTTGGGCAGAGCAAATTTGAAGGACAATGTTGATGATGTGGGTATAGGAGAAAGTGATGAATGTGACAGGGCACAAAAGAGTAAAGACACAAAGGATCTGTGTGATGATCTCTGCCTGGGATGTGTCTGTACAGGAGAGATGGAACAGGGCAGGCATTTCACACAAGAAATGATTGATAACATTATCCCTACAGAATGAGAGCTGGAATGTAGATACTGTAGCCACCAAGGATGCCACAAAGCCACCCATCCAAGACCCGGTCACCAGCCTCACACACACACCCCTGTTCATTGTGACTGTGTACCTCAAGGGGTCCCGAATAGCAACATAACGGTCATAGGCCATCACTGAGAGGATACCACACTCTGCAATGCCAAAGGACAGGAATGAGTAGACCTGTGTGACACAGCAGGAATAGGAGATAGACTTTCTTTTTGCAAAGAAGTGCCCAAGCATCTGTGGGAGCACACAGGATGTATAACAGACTTCAATTATGGACAGATTGGTGAGGAAGAAGTACATGGGGGTATGGAGGAATGTGTTCACTACTACCAACAACACAATGAGCAGGTTTCCCAACAAGATCATCAGGTAGATCATGAGGAAGAGGAGGAAGAGGTCCACCTGGAGCTCAGGCCGGTTGGAGAGGCCAAGGAGGATGAATTCAGTCACTGAGGTAAGGTTGCTGCTCTCCATCTTGTTTATGAACCTACTGAGGTAATAAGGAGGTTTATGATTGCAAAGTGCTTTACATTATGTATCTCTCTTGATTCTTAATACAGGCATTTAAAGCCAGCAAGGCATATTGGTTTTCTCATATTTTTTTCTTT